GCTTGAGAGGGTACAAGCTCCAAGCCTTGGTGGCTTACACATGTTATTGGGTCTGCAGGTACACAGAAGTCAAGAATTAAGCTTTCCACCTAGATTGCAGAGGATGTATGGAAATGCCTAGATGTAAAGGCATAAGTTTGTTTCAGGGGCAGAACCTTCATGAAGAACCTCTGCTAGGGAAGAGCAGAACAGAAATGTGGGGTCAGAGCCCCCACATAGAGTTTCTACTGGGACATTGCCTAGTGGAGCTGTGAGAAAAGGGCCACCGTCCTCCAGAATGGTAGATCCACCAACAGCTTGCACTATGCACCTGGAAAAGCCACAGACACTCTACAACAGCCCTGAAAGCAGCAGGGAGTGGGGCTGTACAATGCAAAGCCACTGGGGCACAGCTGCCCAATGCTGTGGGAGTCTACCTCTTACATCAGTGTGTCCTGGATGTGAGACATGGAGTCAAAGAGATCATTTTGGAACTTAAGATTTAATGATTGCCCTTTTAGATTCTGGACTTGCATGAAGCCTGTAGCCCCTTTGTTTGGCCTATTTCTCCCATTTGGAACAAGTATATTTACCCAATGACTATACCTCCTTGTATCTAGGAAATAACTAACTTGCTTTTGATTTTACAGACTCATAGCTGGAAGTGACTTGTCTTGTCTCAGATCAGACTTTGGACTTAGAATTTTGAGTTAAGATTTTGGGGGACTGTTGGAAGGGCATGATTGTGTTTTGAATTGTGAGGCAATGAGATTTGGGAGGTACCAGGAGTGGAATGATATGGTTTGGCTGTGTCCCCACGCAAACCTCAATTTCACTTGTAGTTCCCATCATCCCCATGTGTCATGGGAGGGACCAGGTGATGGTAATTCAATCACAGGTGTGGTTTCCCCCACCCTGTTCTCAATAAAGTGAGTTAGTTCTCAGAAGAGCTGATGGTTTCATAAGGGGCTTTCCTCTTCACTGGGCACTCAATTCTCTCTCCTCTTGATCTGTGAAGAGGTACCTCCTGCCATAATTGTAAATTTCCCGAGGCCTCTCCAGCCATGTAGAACTGTGGGTCAATTAAACCTCTTTTCTTTATAAATTTCCCATTCTAGGGTATTTCTTCATAGCAGTGTGAGAACAGACTGATACAATAGTGAAACCCCATCTCCAAAAAGTATATAAAAATTAGCTGGGTGGCATGTACCTATAGTCCCTGCTATCCAGGGACGAGGTAGAAGTATTTCTTGAGCCCAGAAGGTTGAGGCTGCTGTGAGCCATGATTGAGCCACTGTACTCCAGCGTGAGTGACAGAGTGAGACTCTGTCTCAAAACGTAAATAAATAATATAAACAAAACCCAAAGAAAACAGGTTTTGTGGGATTTTATTAAGGGGCTGCTTTTGATGTGAGTTGTCTTGGGTATCTCAATTTGCAATTCTGATGCAGAACTTGTATATTTGCATAACATGTACAAGCTATTTGATTTTTCTGGTTCTTACTTTCCATATATATATATGTAGTTTTTTTTCTCTGGAATATTGTTGTGAGGTTTTGATATGCTTGTGTGAATAGTATAAAAGATATGCAAATCAAATACCTTCCTATTCTTGTTCCTCATTCCTCTGAATTGTGAAGCTCATCATCTGTAGCTTCCTTTTATGTGCGTATGGATTTATTATTGAAAACACTAAAAGATTTCCTTTCACCAAGCATATAATGTACTCTTCCTAGGAAAAGTTAAACAAGTATAGTGGTGCAATATATGTTTAGACTTAGATTTAGACAACATATACCAGACTATTAGATTTTTATGAGTTATACAGAACTATTCTGTGTTCAGAATGGCTGATGTCTTAGAATACATTTGAAGGAATTAAAAAATTATTTCTTCAGCAAATGTGGCTTGCAACAGTGTCTATTAGGCTTGTCAGTTTTATTTTGGACAAGATGCCATTGTGGAAAAGAGAGGGATTCAGGGGAAAATAATGCTCATGGTACTTTTCTATGCTAACTCTTCCCTCAACCATTTTTCATGTTAATTTCAAGTTTGAGCAGTTTCACCTTGAGCCATGAGAGAGAAAAATTTCATTTTCCCCCCCATGCCTCTGGTGGGAGACTATGAATACTCTGCTGCTTTTGTACTTTGGAAGCCTGTCTGTCAGTGATTTTTGGAAACAAATTTGAAAGACTTTGTTTTCTGTACTTCTGGTACTATCTGAGCAGATATATCCTTAAAAATGTCATGAAAATACCTTTTTGCAGTATATAATTAAGATATAATTTGATTATCATTACCCTAAACAGGGAATGAGTTCTGTTTATATTTTATTAAACAGGTTACTTAGGTAGGCACTTCCCTGAATGAAGACAGAAATAGATATGTCTACTATTATTATAAGTCTGTTCCCAAAATAATTATTCCAAAATAGAGATGTGCAGAGCCTTAAAAACAGTACTCACAAGTGAATTCAAACAGTTATCTTCTGTGGTCAGTTATTTATTTGGCCTCTTGGCAATCCCTCTCAGGAATTTATCAGGAATCCTTTGCTTGAAGGATTTGAACACGTTAAGTATTTAATGTTTACTCTTTTAAAGCGTGTAAGTAGGGACCTAAGGCTGATGCCTCAAAGAGGTTTGTCAATTTTTTGCTTTAATCTTTGTGATCTCATGAATCTCTTCTGACCTCAGTTCCCTCATGTGCTCTAATTACATAGGGAGATTTCTAATAACTCCTACTTAACAAGGTTTGGGGTGGGATTTTCTTTTTGTCTTAGAAAAGCTGGATTGCTGTATAATAAAATGCCATAGTCTGGATAGCTTAAGAACAGATATTTATTTTTTACAGTCCTGGAGGCTGGGAAGTCCAAGATCAAGCTGCTGACAGATTCAGTTTCCGGTGAGGGTCTCTTTCCTAGCTTGCAGGCAACTACCTTATCATGCCCTCAAATAGCAGGAGGAAGGAGAGAGAGAGAGAGAAAGTTCAAGAAAGTCTTTTCCTCTCCTTATTAGGATACTAATCCAATTAGGGGTCCTTACCCCCATAACCTCATCTAAATCTAATCACCTCCCAAGGGCCCCACCTCAGATATCATCACATTGGAAGTTAGAGTTAAAACATATGAATTTTAGGAAAGGACAGAAACATTCTCTCCATAACATTCTGCCCCTGGACCCCCAAATTTCATGTCTTCTTGCATGTAAAATACATTAATCAAATCATCCCAACACCTCCACCATTCTTAACTCATTCCAGTATTAACTCTAAGTCTGACATCCAAAGCCTTATTTAAATATCATCTAAATTTAATATAAGTGAGACTTGAGATACAATTCACCCTGAGGCAAAATGTCTCTCCAGCTGTGAACCTGTGAAAATGGACAACTATGTGTTTCCAAAACACAATGGTGGGATAGGCACAGAACAGGTATTCCCATTCCAAAAGCAATAAATCAGAAGAAAGAGATGGGAGATCCCAAGCAAGTTCACAATCCAGTTAAATATTCTGTTTCATCTCTCATGGGTTCTACCTTCCACTGAGCTCTACCTTCCACAGAGTTCACTTTCCATTTTCCTGCAGTCTCCCATAACATGTTCCTCATTTCCATCTGAACCCTCACCAGAATTGCCCTTAATGCTCATATTTCTAATATACACCTGAAAACTCTTTTAGCCTCTATCCATTACCCAGTTCCATTACATTTTAAGGCTCAAGAATAATCTGCTTTATTTCCGTGCTCTGCCCTCCAGACTCACTGGGTTGGAAGTGTCGCCCCAGTGTCAGTAGGGCCTTTTAGATCAGTGGAATGCTACCTATTTGGCTCTCTGAGACGATCTCCCTCACCCTCAGGTGGCTGTGCTGTGCCGGGTGGCAGTTCCAACCTTTGAAACAACGTGAAAGCAGCTTTTCCCCTGAGCTTAAGCACTCTGGGCCTGTGGTAGGAATAGTAGTCCTGATTATCTCTAAATCACTTTTGGGCTCCTTCTTCCCTTTAACACATGTTCAACACCTGCCTTTATTCTTTCTTATTTTCTCTATTTTCTTTTATTATTTTTTATTGACACATAATAATTATACATATGCATGGGTACAGTGTGATATTTCCATACATGTATACAATGTATAATGATCAAATCAAGGTAATTGGCATTTTCATCACTTAAAACACTGATCAATTCTTTGTGTTGGGAATAATCAAAATCTGCCCTTCTAGTTATTTAAAAATATACAATAAATCATTGTTAATTATAGTCACTCCAGAGTGCTATAGAACATTAGAACTTGTTCTGTTTTTTTTTTTTTTTTTTTTTCTTTTCGATTCCAGCTGGCAGTGTTTCTGCTGGTATAATTACATGTCTATTTCTGGCTTCCGTTATTGAGATGGCTGATGGCGTCTGTGGTTCACACTCCTGCTAATCTTCCTATCAAATAGTTGGTCAGCCACACCCTTGTTATTCTCTTGCTAACCTGTTTTCTCAATTTTTGCAATAGGGACAGGCTGAGAATTTGTCAAATCTTTAAGCTCTGGTTCCTCTTTACTTAATCCCTTCTTTAATTAATTCTTCTTGTCTTGCATCTTACCAAAATTGATCAGGAAGAACAATGCCACTTTTTCAACCCATTGTTTAAAAATCTTCTCAGCTAAATATTCTGTTTCATCTCTCCTGAGTTTTATTTTCCACAGAACACTGGAATACAATTTGGCCGAGTATTTTGCCACTTTGTAACATGGATCTTCTTTCCTTCAGTCTTCAATAACATGTTCCTTATTTCCATCTGAACCCTCACCAGAACTGCCCTGAATGCTCATATTTCTAGCATGTACCTCAAAACCCTTTCAGTCTCTATTCATTACCCAGTTCCAAAGCCATTGTCACATGTTTTGGTATTTGTTACAACGGCATCTCACATCTCAGTACCAAAATTTGATTAGTTAGGGTTCTCCAGAAAAACACAAGCAAAAAAGTATTTGAGAGAGAAAAATGAGAGAAGAGAAGATTATAAGGAATTGACTCACATGATGATGAGGCTGAGAAGTCCCATGCTCTTCATTTGGCAAGTTGGAGACCCAGGAGAACTGGTGGTATATTTCCAATTCAAGTCTGAAGAACCCCAAACCATGAGAACTAGCAGTGTAGTTCCCAGTAGAGCCTAAAGTCCTAAGAACAAGGAGATCCAAGGGTGTACATCCCAGTCCAAGGGAAAAAGACCAATATCCCAGTTCAACAGTCAGGCAGAGAGAAAAAGGCAAATTCTCCCTTCAGCTATCTTTTTGTTTTACTCAGGCCCTCAAAAAATTAGATTATGCCCACTCACATTGAGGAGAGCAATCTGTTTTACTGAGTCTACTGATTAAAATGCTAATCTCATCTATAAAACACCCTCATAGAGACACCCAGAGCTAATATTTTGCCAAATATCTGGGCCTGTCATGGGTCAGTCAAGTTGATACATAAAATTAGTCTTTACACTCTTAAATTTTATTAGATCAATAATTCCCAGTGTACCATTGACAATGTGGTTCTGCTTTTTATTTAGCACCTAGAATTTCAGAACTATTTGCTACCAATTACTTTCCACCAGCTAGGTCTTAATTATAGGGAAGGAATATAAAGTCAACCATACAAGCTTCCACAGCAGCTCTGACTATAAGCCTTTGTGAAATATTATGCCTAGTTTGAAAAAATTGATTATATACCAATAGCTGTAGAAAACCATGAATGCTTTAAGGTCCTTGTAAATATATCGACATCATAATAACTATTAAGCTTTCCAGAGCTATTTTAGAATAGTTGTAACATTTATTATCCTTCCTTTGAAAACATCAAGCTCTAAAACAACAGCATAATGGTTTTGCAAAGATTTATTTCTAAGATTAAATAGTGAGGGCTCTTTTTCCCTTGAGCATGTTTGAAAATCATCCTCTGAGAGAATCTAAATATATGCCCATGTAAAAATATCACACAAATGAAAGAAAGCCTACTTCTTACTAAAGCAAGATTGGTAATTAAATCACTACCTTTACATGTACCATCAAATAGAAGGCAGTGCTGTTTGATTACACATTTGTATTTTGGGTGACTATTTTTCCCCAAATCATGACATATGTGATGAAAAAGTAAGGAAATAGCTAATGTAATTAATACGTTAATTTGGAAAAACAAAGTTAAAAATAGACCCCAAACAAACAAAAAACAAAAACCTTTTGTATGTTGTAGGTATACAAACATGGAAATGTTTTAGATTTCCCAGATAAATAAAAGACATTTAGGACAGATTACCATGCAAATGTTATACAATACGCAACATGATTATCTAAGTTGTATGATGCCACCTTTCTAATAAAAAGTAGGTTATTTTGTGTTCACTCCTTCCTCTTTGACCTTGGTGCTTTACCGTAAAGGAATTCAGCAACTGCTCCTATGTGACGGGAAAAATACCTGATTTGGCAAGCATGTACTTTATGAAATGTGATATGGCATCAATCATCATTAACCCAAATATCCCCATCACATGCAGGGCCTGACCCCATCACATCTGGTTTCCTGTTTGAAAATGCTTCATTTTGTGGAGGTTTTGCTGATAACAATGCTCAGCATGATCTCTAGGCAATGGAAACTGACAGGAGATGAATTATCTGTCACTCAGGAGGATGCCCTGACCATAGAAACAATCAAGTACAACTGTCTATTATTATTACTTTTTCCCCTTGGCTTTCTTTATTTCTTGGATTAGTTTCTAGCTCAGCATTTGCTTTAAAAGCCTATTAAAAATCTCAAGGGAAAATATGAAGTAAATAATTCCCAGTGAAATTATTCTTGGTTGATGGCAAATGCAATTATTTTTTTCTTTGTTGCCCAAATAATACTTTGAATCCTGATATCCTAATTTTTCCAAAGGAGCATTTAAAAATCACTCATATACCATGTGTGGGTGTGTTAAGCAAAAGATTTGTTATTAGCTATTAAATGTCTGAACAGATTATAATTTTGTGGTTGGGAATCACTAGTTTTATTCTCCTGAAAAATCTTGGGTAATTAGTCATGTGATATCAGTAATTGATGATGGCCACCTGTCAGATGCAACATATTTTATCATTCAAAATACACCAAAAACGTTACTTTCACTTACAAAGCACTGATTCTAGGCTGTTGCACAAAGAAGCTGTGATATTTGAATACTACTTCCTCTTCATCAAGAACAGACAAAGCAGCAACATAGAAAGCAGGAACAAAAAAAATCACTTCCCTTTTTGGCAATTAAAGATAATTCAGGTATATTTGAAAAGAAGGGGAACTTGGAGGGCAAGTAGTTTAGTGACAGGAAAGAATATCAAGTCGTAGGTGACTGCATAACTTTGTCACTGCTTGAGCAAGGAAGACCCTTTGAAAATTTAAATCACTGGCCAGGGAGTCAAATTGTTGTAGAAAGGCCAAGGGATGTTGAGGTATCAGGAGAATTGTAGGGGAAATGCTTCTTAAAGAAAAATGTACATTTAGATTGGGGTAAAACTTCATGGCTAATAGGGACTAGCAGGTCATATAAGTTAAGGAGGACATAGCAAGCTTTGTATCTTACAAATGCATCAATAAAATTGTAACTACATATGACAACATGAATTAATCTAATGAACAAGATGTTAAGCAAAAGGAGTCAGTAATACAAGAGTACATTCTGTGTGATTCCATTTTCATAAAGTTCAAACAGACAAAACAAATCTATGCTACACTAAATAGATTTTCAGCATTTAGGTGACTATACATATTAGCTTGCTATACAAGTGTATTCTTCTTGTGGGAACAGTGAATGGAAGGAGGCAAAAAAGCAGGCTTCTAGGGGCTGGTAATGTTTTGTTTCTTGACCTGGGTGCTGATTATACATAAATAGGTTTAATTTATGAATAGTCATTGAACTTATGATCTATGTCGTCTTCTGTATGTATGTCAGACTTCAGTAAAAAGATTAAGAAATGGGTCTCAACAGTCTTAAAATATAAAAAAATTTTTGTCACCCTTTTTGTTTTTTTTAGAAACTTGTAGCCTAAAGATTGAACTTTCTTATTCCAGCTTTAGATAGATACATGGGTACAGACAACAGTTTCTTTGCTATAAGAAAAATAATTGGGTATATATGATAATAAACAATGACTGGTATGAGTCATGGTATCAGAAAAATTATAACAGGTGAGGACTGTGAGAAATGAAGAGTTTGCAAATCTCTATTAAAAGAATTTGTTCTTATATTTCAGCAGCTTTGTTCATATGAGTACGTGTGCTGAAGGCTACCAGATTTTCTAATTGTTTAAAGTGAAGCCAGGAAAAAAAAAATTATTGGAAAACTCCAAATGTTCTATTTTAGGGTAATGCTTTTAAGCACTTTGAAATATAGGAAGCATATTTCCAGGTTAAATTTGGCCTCCAGTTTGATCCCTTTGGTATAGAAGTCTGGGTTGATTTCTAGGGATTTCTAGGTTATCTCTGGAAAGGTGTTAAAATAATTTAAGAAAGAAAAAAAAGCCATACAAGTAAAGAAAGAAAAGAATATACATATAGTTTTTGTTCATGCCTGCGTTAATGAATTTTTGTTCATTTTAACTCTGAGAGTTTAGAAAATAGGGTGTGGCTTATACGTTCTGGCATCTCAAACGTGAGAAATAGTAGAGTCTATGGCTCTCTACATTTTCCAAGTTACTTGGAACATGTTTCTTTGATTTTCCAAAACACATATTTCTTGGTTGCTTACAGAGTGCCAGACACTGTGCTAAGCATTCAGGATGCATATTTACTTAGTACTTAGAAACTTTGTAACAATTTGAGGTGAGGAAACTGAAGCATGCCTAATTTATAAAGTTAGTGATAATTAGATTTCAAATCAGGCATATTTAATTTCAGAGCTTACACTCTTAACCACTAATTAATCATTAAACTTATAATCATATGTAGAAATATGTAAATTAGGAATTTTAAATTCTATTTTGTAGATGAGGAAACTGAGGCACAGGGCTTTAGATAATCAGTCCCAACATTTTTGGCCCAGGGACCGGTTTCTTGGAAGACAGTTTTCCCGGGATGGCGGGTTGCAATGATTCGAATACATTACATTTATTGTGTACTTTATTATCATTATATTGTAATATGTAATGAAATAATTATGCAACTCAACATAATATAGAATCAGTCAGAGCCCTAAGCTTGATTTCCTGCAACTAGACAGTCCCATCTGGGGATGATGAGAGACAGTGACAGATCGTCAGGCATTAGATTCTCATAAGGAGCAGCAACCTGGATCACTCACATGTGCAGTTCACAATAGAGTTTGTGCGCCTATTGGAATCTGATTCCTCACCCCCTATTTTGACAGGAGGTGGAGATCAGCTGGTTAATGTGAGTGATGGGGAGTGCTTGTAAATAACAGATGAAGTGTCGCTTTCTTGCCCACAGCTCACCTTCTGCTGTGGGGCCCAGTTCCTAACAGTCCATGGATCAGTAGCAGTCCCTGGTCCAGGGTTTGAGGACCCCATTTTAAATTACTTGACAGAACTCACAATGCTATTTACTAAGAGAGGATTGATACTGGCCTCACGTTCTTGCTCCTTTCTTCTTTTCTCCTGTACCCTGAAGGTCATCCTGGGAGTTAATTTTATATTTGCAGAATTCCCTAACAGTGGATTATTTCCTGTCACATAGCAGTTTAATTATCCTTTATTTGGATATGATCTAAATAAAATCAACATAATCTTAGATGATAAGATAAATGTACCCCAAAGAAGTACACTGATATCTGATATGCATAATGAATTAACCTTCTTGATGCTCAGGATAACAACTAATGGTGCATCTCCTCTCAGTTAGTGAATTAGAAAGCCAGGCATTCATCCAAATATGCAGATGTTTAGTCTTGTGTAGTCAAAAACTCTGAATGACAGACACAATTTTCACTTCGAATTATATTCTTTTGGTGCCAGACAGTGGCAAAGTATCAGGCAAATAAATGCGTGACTTTAAAAAGAATTCTTTCAATCTTGACCAGTAGCAACCCCAGTTGAGTGGAGAAAATATGTGTTTTGTGGTTTTACTCATTTATCTTATATTGTACTTATGTAAATTTTAATTAGCCTTTTTGACTTTCCTAGTTTTCTTCTACCGAACAGTAATTAAAGTTCACAATTTTGTATACAGATGGAGTTTAAGTGATCTCAACAATCAAAACAAGCCTTTTTAGATTTGTCTGTTCTCTCTTTTCATATTCAGTCTGGTCAGAGATGATTCTACAATTATTTGATTTCAAATGTTATCTTAAAGATATGAAATATTTGATATACAATTATTTATTTCAAATGTTATATTAAATATATAAAAAATTATCCATTTAGGCCCAAGACTCCATCATGATCTCAGCTCTACGTGGCTGTGTGTTCCCTAATCTGAATCAGTCTTTCTTCTTTCCCCATTTGCCCACACCTTTCACTGTGCTCTTTACAAAATCTCCTGTAACTATTTCTCTTAATAGGTAATCACCTTTTGCTCTAAAATAAGCTCAGATATCCTTTTAGATATAGCTCTTTGAATTGTGACAGCTTTTTATTCCATATTTCATGTACCGTGGGTATCAGAGGTAGATTAGATGTCCTCCTGTTTTTCATTGTTTTTCCCAGACCACCATCTGTCCTGCTTTTTGTCAAAACCCTCAGATTATTTGAGGAACATGACAACAGCTCCATCTACACTTCTTGAACACTCATATTGCAAACAGCTTGTCTAAAATCCTGGACCCTCAGTTGCTTGACTGCTTTTAACCCCAATTATTATGCCCTCTACATATCTTCAACCATGCATCCCTATGGCATTCTCTGAACTTCATCATTACCAAGAATGGCAATTTCCACAAAACCTTGATTTCAGTAATTCCACTCTCTGACCATCAAATACTTCTGGCTTGCCTATTTTGTAATACCTTATACATTTTTTTTTTTTTTTACTCTGTGCTACCTTTTTAACTCTGCACTATAACCCTGGAAATCTTTTCTTCTTACCAGATTATATTGCCTTGTTTTGCCATGACCCTTGCCTCTCTCATTCTCCATATTGCCTGGTAACGTAAAATACCAACACTGGGTAAGCCCTTCTTTCAGCCATGCCTGCAACTTCACAGCAAAACACAGCCGGAGGGCTGCACACAAATGTACCGACTAGTTCATTTAAAAATCATAATCACAAACCTGTGTTTTCTCAGGACTGCCTGGCTATTCTACTCCATTTCCCTAATCAGTTCACCCTCTTAATCTTTTGAAACATTATTTCACATCTTCTTCTATTTCCTATTTTGACACCACGTTCACCTTTTTGCTATGCATTATGGCTATTTTCTTACAGCTTCGAGAACATAGAAGCAATCAGAAGACAAATACCTCATCATTTTACCATGAAATCTGCCAGTTCTATACATCCGTAGACATATTTGTTGCTTATCTACTTTATACCATGGGTAAACTCTATATTTATGCATTGATTTTCAATCCTTCTGATTTACTCAGTAAAATTATGCTGAATTTTTTTCCTTTCTTTCTTTAAGTACTATTGCTGCTTAACAAATCATCCAAAAACTTATATCTTAAAACAAGCATTCTCTTATCTAGTATAGGTCATGTGGATCAGGTATTCTCTGACCCAGGATCCCTCATCTGAAGTATTCAGACCATGGCTGGAGCTAGGAAGTCAGGAGCAGCTTGGGAATGACTAGTGTTTCTCTCACTTAACAAAATCTCAAAATTTCTCTCTGCAGTATCTCTGCCTGGGTTGCTTTGGGCTTCCTCATATCACAGTAGTTTCAGGGCAGTCAGAATGCTTACAAAGCAATTTAGGGGTTCAGTGGGAGGGTTCCAGTCATCCAGGAGTAAGTTTCATTTCCTTTTCTGTCCTAGCCACAGAACAGAAAGATGCTTCACAGAGCGTCCATTCTGCTGATTGTTTTGATTATATGCTAGTCAAAAACTGTGCAGATTTGAGGGGAAGGAACATCAACTACCCTTCTTGATGAGACAAGTGTCAAAGTCTCATTGTAGAAAAGCACATGGGATAGGAAATATTATTACAGTTTTTGGAAACTAAAATCTGCAGTATAGGTTAATGAATATTTTTCTTGCTTCTGAAGCATTTCTATTTACATCCAAATGTACTGCAAAAAAAAATCATTAAAATTAAAAAAAAAAAACACAAAACCTTCTTTGTGGCCCTATGCCCCTTGCCTGTATTATCTTTTTTTCTACTTTCTTTTATTGTGATTTTTTTTTCAAAACACTTTTCCATTCCTAATTTTCTCTTTGTCCCTTCATTTGAATCGGCTTTCACATCACCCTTCACTAAAATACCCTTGACAAGGTCATTTTTCTTTTAAGTCCAGTGATTGATTCTCATTTCTCATTTTATTTCATGAATTTCAAGTACTTAATACAGCTGACTACTCCATCCTGCTCTTGGAATACCTACCTTATATGATTTCTGGTGCCCCCACTTGTCTGGTAGTTCCTGCTCTCCTTTGCTCACTTGATCTATATACATGTTGGAGTGCCCAAGGTTCGTTCCTCAAGAAGTTCTCATCTCCACTCATCCCTGACATTATCTCTTCCAGTCCCATGGCTCTAAAGTTTTCTTTTGTGATGACCTTCCCAATTTTCAACTCCAGCCTCAAACTCTCCCTGCACTTTGGACATGTGTAACTGATTGTCTACTTGACATCTCTGCTTTGTTGTCTAACAGACATGTCAAATTTAATATGTCCAAAATAGAATTCCGTCTTTGAAAATGTGTCCAAAATAGAATTCTGTCTTCTCACTTTCCCCACCCTCCCCCGCCAAACATACTAATTTCTCAGATTTTCTCATTTCAGAAAATGGCACCACCAGTTACCTAAGTGCTATGCCAGATGTCTAGGAATATTCCTTGAGTTCTTTCTTTTCTTCACCCTCCATATCCTACTTATCCTAAATTCTTTTGGTTACACTTATAAAACATATCTAGACTGTCAAGTTCTCACTATCTTCATTGCTGCCACCTTAACAAATTAATGTTTAGCTGACTTTAATTTATTGGGTTGGATAATAAATTTTGTTCATCTTCTTTTCCCCCAATAATAAAAGTTTTTTAAACTTTATTAATATTAAAGCAGGTGTTTTGCTCATAATTCTTCATTGGATTCTCAATGCAATGAGAATAAAGTGTCCTTATTATAAACCTCTTTTGTTCCTACAGAGCTGATCCCTGCCCACCTTTCCCCCGGCGTTTTCTGTTTCTCTCACACTGGCTCACACCCTTCTAGCTCCAGTGGCCTTTTTGCTGTCCTTTGACCTAGGCAAACTAGAATCTTTCCTCTGGACTTTTAAACTTAATATTTTTTCCTCATTGAGCATCTCTATCCATTTCTGGCCTTCTGTAGTCAATCTGCAGGCTAGCATTTGGGAGCCACCAATAAGAGCGTAAAGTGTCCTCTTCTGATAGGGCCACATATCCCAGTTTTAATTTCTTCTCATCATTGTTATCCTTATACTTCCCATTCCAACAAATGTTTTCCTTGAAGATAAAAAGGTCAACAAAATAGGAGATGACACTAGTTTCCTTCCTGACATTTATTAACAGTATGCTATTCACCAACATCGACAGAAAACACCTTCTCTTTTGTAGTAGAGTATAAACTAAAAATTATTTGATTTGTCATAATATAAAAATATTGTTATGATATAACGATTTCAAAAGCCTCAACTTTTGTGAGTTTTGCCTTTCTTTGTGATGTAACATATCCTTTATATGCATGTATCTTACATATTTTATATATCACTCTCAAGAATCTAAGTTTGAATGTTTCTATATATTGCTACATCTGTTTCCTCAGATGTGTATTTTCTTTCTACCCCACTAGTATAATTTGGTTTTCATGGTTGCTTCTTTGTTCTTATATAGCCCCTAATTCTCTGTAACATTTTAGAATATCTGGCCAGGAAAACATACTTATTTCTTTGATTTTTAAAAAATCTGTTTTGTTCCAATTTAGGACAATGTTTTAAACTTTTTTTTTTTTTTTTTTGCATACAAGAACCCGTTTATAGGATCAACATACTTAAAATAACTTGTGTTGTAAATAGTTATATATTTACTATCTGCTGGTTCAGAATACTCAAATATGCCTGTGCCTTTATGGGTCCAATTGCTGCATGCCTATTATGGATCTGTTAGAAATTGGGGTGTGAGGAGAATTGCTGATATTATAAAGAGAACATATTAAAATTGTTGAAACTTGCCAGTTTTCCTTGCTGCTCACAGGATCCCTGAAAATCATACCAGTGAAAATGGAAATACTGTTTTCTTTATGAGTGATATGGTTAGTACCTCTTATCTCCAGTAAAAATGTTACTAAAGGTTGGAAGGACAAAGAGAATTATGTCTCAGTTTAAGTTGGTCTCTTAGGATTCCTCATCCTCTTTAATAGAATCTTAAAAATTGTTTTTCTTTGGCTATCTACATGTAAGAAACAAGGTAAAGATAGGCAAACTTGTATGGTTTGTCATGGGCAGGTCTTAAGCCAGCTTACTCACAGAACTACATCATATAAAGGAAATAGAGAAGAAAAGGGCATGGTTGAGCACAAATAGGGGAAACCAGTCCTGGACAAGTCTGCTTATTACATGGAAGTAAGAATCACTAATTTCAAGAGAAGAAGCTGATTATGGGTTTGTAACTTTTAAAGCGTGATACCACTGCCCACCAATATTTATAATCTATGAAATGTTCCAGGCAACAACTAAGCAACTTAACAAATGTAGCTGCCATGTTTTCCTGGCCAATACAATGCTCTTCTTTCTCGCTTCTTTCCACCCAGCTATGGTTTCAGGATGCTTTTTCTGTCCAGTGAATTTTTAATGCCTCTCATCTTGGTGGAAGTTCCCAAAATGCTTTTAAATTCTTGATAAAATATAATCCATTCATCTAGAATGCCCTTTTACTTCTGTACCTTTTACCTCTTTCTCCCTGAAATGTAGATAAGCATTCAAAGTTCAGCAATTATCATGCCAACAATAAGGTCCCAAACAAATAGGCTAAGGTTGGAAGAGTATAAAAAGAGAAAGATTTTGGTTTCTTGTTAATGTTAAAAAGAGGAACAAATACCAGTCACTATTAACCTTCAGACTTCTTGTAATATATGAATAATAATTCTCTGTTGACTTAAACTACTCTTACTTGGGTTTCTGTTCTTGGAGAATGTATATCTAATGGATGCAGTCCTCCTCCCCTGGAGTGACTAGGTTGG